CACGAGAGCCTTTTTCATAAGATATAATCACGTCTCTATATTAGAGGTCAGTATTTCTTAAGCCCACTTTGGTATTAAAATAAAATGGGCATGGAAGAGAGAGAAAGGAGGAATGGGAAGTTAAAGGGAAGAACCTGAGAAAGAATGAGGAGTTAAATAGGGAGGGATTGTTGAGTATAAACAAGAATGAATGAGTGTGTAGAAAGAAGAATCAGTATGCAAAAGAATAAGAATGAGTAGAGAAATTAAAAGAACGATTATAGATAGGGAAAGAAAGAGAAATGGAATTTGTTAATTTATACGTATAAATAATCATGAACTGAAAATCAGGAATTACATTCTCTGGAATTTAAGTCATTATATGTCTAGTTTATTTTATCAGTCAAAATATAGTACATGCAGTTATATATTTTTCTTTTTTTGCAGGAAGCAAAAATGTTTGATTCACGCATTCACACCAACAGTGATTGTACATTAGTGTCGCTGTTGATTGAAGTAGTTGCGGTAAGAGTTTAAGTATTTTTTATTTATACAGGTATACAATCCCATATCCAAAGTCCTTGTGGCCAGTTATATTTCAATTTTTTTATATTTCAGTTTTAAGAAACTCAAACAATATAGCAACATTTGTAAGGATAAAAAATAAGACTGCAAATATTATTTGTTTGTTTTTAGAATAATATACAGTTAAATGGAATAGAGGGATGATTAAAACCATAAATGATGAATAAATTTTATTTATTTCAGATAAAAAAATGCTTTGTATATCTTATAAAAGGAAAACATCAAATGAGAAACTAAAGATTTACATGGTGTTCTTGTATCCCAATGTTACTCTGTTAAGTATATATACACGTACCACTTCTGCCTCAGTCTCTGGATTTTGTTACTGTAAAATAGTGGAAAATAGTTTCCAAAGAGGGGGGTAAAGAAACACTACAGACAATAGGTATTGTAGCTTTTAATAAACTAGAAGAATAATCTGGTAAACCCATAAGGACAATCAAATTAAGGTTCATCCGATTTAGCTGGAGGGTCTTCGAGAAAAGGGTATGTCAGTGTCACCATCTTTGTTATGTTGCAGTCGTACATCTGGTGACGGGCTAGGAACAAGATTCTCAGTGGTGAAGTACTCCATGCCAGAATTATTTGGTGTTCAGTCGTTTTTAGTTTTCAGATGTTTGGATTTAGGATTGTCAACCTGTACATGTTTGATTTATCTTTACACACATGCACACACACGCACACACACATGCATATGCACACGCACACATTATCTATTTTGCAGTCTGTTTAAATGAGACCATGATATAAAGTCCTGTATGATCTAGATGACATGACCATCATGTCATGAAAAAAATGAACTTGCAGGATAGGTGACATGAACATACTGTTATAGGAAAATTTAGCTATGGGCCAGGGTGTCATGAGCATTTCAGCTGAAGGCCAAGGTGACTGAAATGACTTGCAACAAGTGCAGAAAACTCGTGGAGGGTGAGTAAATGCATTTGGAGTTTAGGAAGGGGCTTATACATTATTTCTATTGATGACCGAGGTTGGGATGTACTGTCCATGAGCCATGGCTAGAAGAGTGCTGGCTCCAGGGAGGATGCCATTTCCATGCAAAGGGAAGGTATTGAGTCTTTTTACCTCACACCGCACCCAGCCCATAAGTCGCACACCTATCAGTGTCTGCTTAAGTAAGGCTCATGCCCTTATTTGGGGCCTTGTAATGGTGGTAAAGCATCTGGGTCCAATGGGTTAAGGATTAATAAAAAGATCTATGAAGCACACATTATTGTGTTTAGAGAGTTAGTTAAAACACCCTTAATCTTCCACAGGAGGCTGAAGCTGGGATGTCCCGGTTTGAATTTGTGCTGGAGTATGAGCTCTTGGAGATCTTCCCTCATGAGGTCAAAGTCAGGTTTGTTGGTAAGTATTGAGGTGTGTGTCTGCCTTTCCAATTGCATATATTCACAGTTTAGCTTGTTTTTTTTTCTCTAGAGGGTGTATCATGCTACCTTTTTTCAATCTAGAAGGACCATAAATTTGGGAAGTGAAGTAACTGTCAGATGGAAAGCCTTTTGCAAACATTTATTGTTTGCAATTGAAATATACCTAAAGATCTTCCATTTATAGAATTCAGTTTTATTTGTCATACATAGCCAACAGCTGAGTCTAGGGGAAAAAATGGGTGAAGTAACTGTTTAAAGGAAATACAGTTTCAATTTTGCTTGAATTTGTGGATATTACCATAAATATTTACCTTCATATGATGATTGCATTGCTCATATCTTATAGGGAATTCTGATGTTAAAGTCACACATGAAAGTGGCATCAAGCTATTTCTATTTTGTGGTCAGATCATATCCTTGAGCTTATTATAATTACTCCTTTCCTGCAGATGGTGTCGAGACAGGAAAGGAAATAAAAGATCAACTTCAAGAAGCGAGCATAGATATGAAGACCAGGCCCTTCCCTGACGTCATCTGTTCAATGT